TTACTAGATATAGGGTAGTCTGGTATATATATAAGGCTGACAACGTGACGGAATAATAATGTCATGTGTGTGTAGACAGTGAGTAATTGACCTGCAGTCAGAGAGTATTATTGAAGTTGAGCACGTTCGTTGTTACAGCGTTTGTTTTAGCGTGATTGTTGAAATTAAGTGTATCGTAAAGTCGCTAAAGTTTCGTCGGAACGTAGTTACGGAAAATTAATTAACAAACGGAGACGTAACAATAATAATAAAAAATGGTTATGGTGGTAACCGAAATAATAATTTGATCTAAGTAAGAGTGTCTTTCTTCCCGATTTCTAAAAAATACGTGATAGAAAATAAATGAATATAATTTTCGAAATCTGCATAACTGAATTATAGAGAATCCGTTATTAAAACCAAACCAACTTTTATGAAGATTAAATTAGCAGGCCTATGTTATCAAAGTGGTTATTTAATATGGCTACCTCGTTTACTAATTAATTAGAAATTAGGAAAATCATTACTTGTAAAGCAGCAGTACCTGCAAGGTCAGACAACTTATAGCTAATGATAAAACTTCGTTTCATACAAAGCACATAATTACAATCCCATTGATCCATATTTGAACGTATAAGAAAGCACCAAGGGGAAATAACCTGTATTTGAAGTATACCTCCCCCTCCCGCACATGAAGTGAGGGTGGGCATTCCCGTACAAAAAACTTCACCTCCAACAATAAACAATGTCCGATGAGGTCTTCTAGAAAAAAATAAAAATAAAGAAACGTATTTCCGCTATTATTTGTGTCATTCTCTTTTAACTTCGTTAGATATTGCTTATCTTATTAAAATTTGTGGGCTCAGCGACATCTATTAGTCTTAGCATAAGACTATACAACAAACCGTTTCTTCCGCTATTGGTTATTCTCGAAATAAAAAGAATAAACTACTTTCTGGTAGAGAAAAGTGAACTAGGAGTTAATAAAACTTATACAACTGTTATTAATTTCATTTCAAAAGAGAGAGCTAACTCAAAATGCTAGTTTGAATGCTTTCAATATCGAAACTGTGAGCAGTTCATCACGAACAGTGTAAGCTTAAAAGATTATTATGGACACCTTAGTCACTTAATGTACAAGTCAAAAACTTTAACTTCTGACTTACCAACGAAAACAAATGCGTTATCATTCTTGTTGGCTAGGGGGAATATAATATTTTGCACAAGGATTCTACAGACTACCACCAGGGCAGTAGGTGGAGATCTCGATTAACGCTTTGATTGACACTTGTTGGAACCAATCACAGCGTGCTATACAAATTGCTTTGACAAAACAAAACCTCATGTAAATACTTAGAATAACCAAGCTTTAGTCTCTAACGGGTTGTGTTACTGGATAGAAACACTTAACCCTTTATTGCACATTGTAACGTATCAAATACTATCTTTGTTGCTTAATACACATACTCTCGTGTTTCAAGTGATAGTGCATGGTGGAAATATTCATATTTCGAATGTAATGATTGTACAGGTTGAAATCATAGTATGAAATTGAATTTTGTGTTTTTCGTTAAAGATACCGAAAAATATCATACAAACCCAAATAAGCATCGTGGAGAGTGGTTAATTTCTCCAAAATTAATGATCCTAGATGTACGATTATTTGGAACATTAAAGTACAAGGGCTTCAATTCTGTAACTGAATGTTCTTATGTCAAGGTAACAGCCTAAATAAACCATTGAATTATTTTTGTTGGTTCCTCAATTGAACAATGTTAATTATAGGTAACGTACACAGTTATAACTTACTAAAATATATTTTGTGAAATATAGACTTACTTAAGAAAGAAATTCAAAAAAAGCCATTTGTTTTCCCCCACCGTACTTTCATTATCTGTGCAACACACTCAACTGATCGTGAAATATCGTAGTAAATTCCGACTATGTGAAACAAACAATGGAAATACGTTTTCTTTTATCATTCTGGTTTATACAGACCAGTAGTGTAAGTTTGGACTACTGAACAGAGGGAGGGAAGCCTGGTAACAGAATACACTAAAAAAAGGTTTTGCCAAACAAATATGAACGGAATCATGTGACACTCTTATAACGACGTCGTGTTTCGACACTTCGATACAGTTAATGTAGCACAACACGCTGACCACGAGGCCTGGATTTATTAAGAAACAGTTAACCACAAATCAGATTCAACACACGTCATACAATCGTGCCAACTTTCGTTAATATTATGTTAACATCTTTGTAAAATAAATTTTATTTAGCGACTTCAATCTATATAACATTAATTCTGTCGAAGTATTTTCTATTCCTGTCATATAAATATAAATCTTCCATCAGAATCTATCGCTTCCTTCATTATTCTTTTCCATGTTATCCTACAAACATAACTTGTGTTACCCCACAGGCCAGGTGGTTAGGGCGCTCGACTAGCAATCTGAGGGTTCGAATCTCAGTCACACCAAACATGCTCGCCCTTTCAGCCGTGGGGCTTTATAATGTGACGGTCAATCCCACTATTCGTTGGTAAAAGAGTAGCCCAAGAGTTGGCGGTTGGTGGTGATGACTATCTGCCTTCCCTCTAGTCTTACACTGCTAAATTAGGGACGGCTACCGCAGATAGCCCCCGTGCAGCTTTGCGCAAAATTCAGAACAAACAAACGTTACCCCACAGCCACGTTTTTTAATTTTTAAGGATGCTATGCC